TAGCAAGAATCCATAAATTACAGTTATTATGTGTTAATTTTCTTTGACTCTGCTCCCTGCCTAAGCAACAAATAAGAAAAGAATGTAAATATATGTGAATATATATTGGATCAGTGATTTTCTGTTTTTTGTTTTGTTTTGTTTTTTTCAGACGGAGTTTTGCTCTTGTTGCCCAGGCTGAAGTGCAATGGCACGATCTTGGCTCGCCGCAACCGCTGCCTCCTGGGTTCAAGTGATTCTCCTGCCTCAGCCTCCCAAGTAGCTGGGATTACAGGCATGCGCCACAACGCCTGGCTAATTTTTTGTATTTTTAGTAGAAGACGGGGTTTCTCCATGTTGGTCAGGCTGATCTCAAACTCCCGACCTCAAGTGATCTGCCCCCACCTCGGCCTCCCAAAGTGCTGGGATTACAGGTGTGAGCCACTGTGCCCGGCAGGATAAGTGATTTTCAAACTTTAATGTATATGAGAATTACCTGGAGGACTCATGAAAGTAGATTGCTGAGCCCCACCTCAGAAATACTGATTAAGTAGCTCAGAGATGCAGCTGGAGACATTGCAGGTCGCATAAATTCCCCAGGTGCTACTGAGGCTGGGAATTGCAGGAGAGCCACTACTTTATAATCATAAAGCTCCACTTCCATCTAGTGGTTGAGTTACAAAATACAATGAATATACAGTTTTAACACGCATTGTTTCATTGAATTCTCCTAACACTCCGTGAAGTAAATACTGTCTTCACTTTACAAATGGTAAAACTGAGCTGTGAGGGTGATGAAGTAACCTGCCTAATGTTTTTCAGGTATCTGGAGAACTGATGATTAGCTTCAAGGCTGTCAGACTCCAAAGCCAAAGCTCTCAGTCAGTATGTTATCCTGTCTAAACATCCTTCAAACCGTCTTTCCTTGGTAATTCTACTTCTGAGGAAATAACCAGAAATACGGACAAAGAGAGAGATATCTATTATAATATGATTTATAATAGTGAAAATTCATAGGAAACTTTAAGTCCATCATCAAGGGATTGGTAATATAGGGATACTTCAAAATATTTTACAGAGAACTGAAGTGAAATATCATGTTTTTTAAAATTTATGGAAATTGATATACAATGGGAAGAGGAAAATGTAGGATTTTGCATAAAGGAGTGACTTTAAGAAAATTCCCGGCCGGGCGCGGTGGTTCATGCCTGTAATCCCAGCACTTTGGGAGGCCGAGGCGGGTGGATCACAAGGTCAGGAGATCGAGACCATCCTGGCTAACACAGTGAAACCCC